AGGTGTGACAAGTATACAAACATGTAAGAGCCGGAGTCTGATTTTCTCCAAAATGACAAAAGCTAAACAAATGGAGGAGCAATCTCATCAAAGAGATCGCTGACCACAACAAAATGAACCTAGGACAGAATATCAGTTTAAAGCCCAAGGTACGAACATTGCAACCCATTGAATGCACCACATCAAGAGATTCTCGAGGTTATGGAGAAGTGAGAAGAGACGAAGTTGCTAGCACAACCAAAACTTTTACCCCCGCAGCGGAGAGACCAGAGTCAGCTTCATGACATCCAAAGGCACCTACTGTTATGTAGTGATTCCTTTCAGGTCAAAGAATGCGGGTGCTACCTACCAACGGTTAGTGGATAAAATGTTTAAAGGACATATAGGTCGTAACATGGTGGTTTATGTCGACGACATGCTTGTGAAGAGTAAGAAGACATAAGACCAAGTGAAGAATCTCCGAGAAACCTTTAACACATTGCAAAAATTGGGCATGAAGTTCAACCCAACCAAATGCAAATTTGGCGGGCGATTCGGAATGTTTTTGGGATATTTGGGGATAGAGAGAGAAATAGAAGTGAATCCCGAGAAGGTACAAGCTGCCATCGAAATGCAAGCTTCGAGAAACCTGGGAGAGGTGCAGATTCCTACCGAATGCTAGCAGGTTTGAGCAGGTTCATATCTCAATAAACTGAAAAGAGTTTCCCATTTTTCTAGGCTCTAAAGAAAGTGTCTTGCTTTGATTTAGTGTCAAGAGGCTAAAAGAGTTTTTGGCTGAGCTCTCCCTACTTATGAAACTAGTACCAAAGGACACATTGGTTTTATACCTTTATGTGGGTCAGAAGGCCATTAGTTTGGTATTGATAAAAGAGGAGCATGGTCATCAAAGACAAATATACTATACTAGCCGAATATTGCAGGGTGCCAATCTCAAATACTCGGGCGTCGAAAAGACAGCCCTAACGCTCATTTATACGACACAGAAACTGCATCCGTATTTTCTGGCACATAAAGTCATGGTGCAGACAAACTACAGGCTCAAACATACCCTAGGCCAGTCTCTCGGCTTCAGGAAGAATAGTCAAGTGGGCAGTCGATCTTGGTGAGTATCACGTGTACGTCGAAAGATCCTCAGTCGAAGGAGGCGCTGGAGTGCGTATCGTGGTTGTCACAACCAAAAAAGACCACTTAAAGTTCGCTGTTAAGTTGTCCTTTAAGGCGTCAAACAACAAAGTCGAGTATGAAGCTCTTCTTGAGGGAATCCAGCTCTTCCTAGAGGAGGGAATTCATCAGGTAATTATTCATTCAGACTCCTAACTTGTGGTTGAACAGGTTAAAGGAGAATACGAAGCACATGAGGACCGCATGAAAAGATATGTAACTGAAACCCATGCATTACTGAAGGGTTTGTGGCTTGAGAGCTAGTGCAATTACTGCTGGGAGAGAACGGAAAAACCAACCTCCTTTCTAAGATGGCCGCAACACTGTAGATTTCCAGTCTAGGTCGATCACCCTATTGGAGATGACCACAAGTACTTTGGGCCAGGTTCTGGGAGTCGGGGAGTCGGGGAGTAGGAGGATTGAAGGTCATCCCTAATAAGATGGTTATAGAATCCTGTTATTTGTAAAGATATCAGGGGTGATTCAGTCGGAAGAAGGGCCTTGAGGTTCTACTTGCACAATGGAGTATTGTATAAGCGATCACACGTGGGACCGCACTTGAGATGTGTTTCTAATCAGGATGGGGACTATGTGATAAAAGAAATTCATGAAGGGTGTTGTGGCAGCCATGTAAACGCTAGGGCAGTGGTTGAAATGGTTCTTCAGGACGGTTATTTTTTACCTAGAATGAGGGCGATGACGCAAGACCTCATACGAAAATGTCGTAGATGTCAGCAACATGGTCTGTTAGTCCATCGACCAGCGGAGAACATGATCCTGATAAGCTCACCATTGCCTTTTCCACAGTGGGGAATTGATATAGTATATCCTCTTCCCCAAGCAACAGCCCAAAGAAAGTTTCTGATAATGGCGTTGGATTATTTCACTATGTGGATTGAGGAAGAGCCACTGACAAAGATTACTGAGGAAAAGGTGATAAAATTTCTGTTTGCTAACATCTGCTGCTGATATTGGCATTCGTCGAGTACTCATATCCGATAATGGAGCCCAATTTAGAGGTCGTCGCATGATGACATGGTGCGAGGATATGAAAATATAAACAACAATTTGCTTCAATAGCCCATCTGTATGAGAATGGGTAGGCTGAGGTTTCCAATAGATCGATTATTAAAGGACTGAAAGGTAGGCTAGAAAGGGCCTTGGGAGCATGGGTAGACTATCTTGACTCAGTCCTATGGTCGTATCAAATGACGCCAAGGGCTTCGAAGAGGGAAACTCCCTTTAGTTTGGTATAGAATAGGAAGTAGTAATCCCAATGGAGGTCAGATTAAGCTCAGATAGAGTTAGCGCATATTTAGAAGAAGACAATGCTGCACTACAGAAAGAGGCCCTCAACCTGGTGGATGAGCTGCGAGATCAGACGACAGGCAGAACTACCGCTTATAAGCAAATAATGAGAGCGACTCATAATATGTTAATTCGAGCTCAAAGATTGCTAGTAGGAGACCTAGTTTGGCGTCAGATTGATGCCCTCAAGCACGTGGGAAAATTCGAGCCGAATTGGGAAGGGCCATATACAATCGAGAGGGTTTTGCGGGAGGCGCATATGGGCTGCAAGATGCCAATGGGCGACTGCTGCCCATGCCGTGGAATGTGATGTATATGAAAATTTGTTACGTTTGACTTGACGGTTTTATCTTATGATTGCTTTATATTCTTTTCTATTGTTTTCTAATGAATACATTATTTTCTAATAACGAACTCTATGTCTGAAATTTTGTATAGTGTATCTCCAGTGGCTCAAATTGAAGAAGGGAACAAGTCTGTTGTGGCATTGCCAAGCTCGTGGAGCACAGCAGCAAGTCCTCAAACTTGTATCCAACTTTAGGGCGTAAGCCTGTCGCACCGTTGCTCTCAAACTTGTAGCCAACTTTAGGGCGTAAGCCTGTCGTGGCATTACCAAACTCGCGGAGCTCAGCAGTTAGTCCTAAGACTCGTAACCAACCTTAGTGCGTAAGCCTGTCGTGGCGTTGCCAAGCTTGTAGGCTTGGCAGCGAGTCCTCAGGCTCGTAGCCAACTTTAGGGTATAAGCCTATTATTGCGTTGCCAAGCTCGCTGAGCTCAACAGCGAGTCCTAAAACTCGTAGAAAACTTTAGGGCGTAAGCCTGTCGTGGCATTTCCAAGCTCGCGGAACTCGATAGAGGGTCCTAAAACTCATAGCCAACCTTAAGGCTTAGCCTATCGTGGCATTGCGGAGCTCAGCAGCGAGTCCTCAGACTTGTAGCCAACTTTAGAGCGTAAGCCTTTCATGGCATTGCCAAGCTCGTGGAGCTCGGTAGCGAGTCCTAAAACTTTTAGCAAAGTTTAGGGTGTAAGCCCGTCGCGGCGTTGCCAAGCTCGCGGAGCTCGGAAGCGAGTCCGAAAACTCATAGACAACTTTAGGGCATAATCCTGTTGTGGCATTTCCAAGCTCTCGGAGTTCGACAGTGAGTCCTCAGACTCATAGCCAACTTTAGGGCGTAAGCCTGTTGTGGCATTGCCTAGCTCGCAGAGCTCAGCAGTAAGTCTTCAGACTCGTAGCCAACTTCAAGGTCTAAGCTTGTTGAGGCGTTCCCAAGCTCGTGAAGCTTGGGAGTGAGTCATTTGACTCGTTGCCACGTTTAGGGTGCAAGTCTACCATAATACCGCTCGAGTTCACGAAGCTTGGCGTTAATTTAGGGCGCAGGTCTGTGGTAGTTTTACTTAAGTTCATGGAATAACTGCAAGTCCTTAAAGACCAGTAATTGGTTAGAGCTGCAAAATTTGTTGCGACACCAGTTGGGGTCCATAAATTTGCAGTAGGCCGAGGTACATAAATATAAACAAACACACTATTCACAAAGTACGGAAAATTACTAAAATAAAGAGCAATTAAAACCAAAAAACCGAGTTCATGGGGGCATCCACCACCTAGATACTATTACAAATTAAGCAAGGGAAGTTCAGAGTATCACTACAAGCATAAAAGCTTTATGATGACGACATTTCACCCTCTTCGTCCGCCTCTTCACTCTATGCAGCTAGATACTTGGCAATTTTCAGCAAGAGCTCCCACCAGGGGAGGTTGGTAGGTTGCGACTGATTGACATTTCACCCCTCTGGATTAGGAAGACCTCTCGTCTGTGTGGCCTCATCTCATGTGCCATTAAAACCTTGGGCCACGGCTTGAGTTCGGGTGCGCTTGGTCCCTTCTTTGAAATATTGTTGACACGCCGGGAAAAGCCAGTAGAGGTAGTGAGTGGTGTGCTAGAAATAATTTAGTATCTCGGCTCTATAGTGGTCAAGGAAGCTCATGCCCAAAACCGAGGAAAGTAAGGAGATCTGACAATTTTCGCAGGCCTGAGCGAAACGCTGGTCCACGGAGATGCAAAGTGAACCGAGCTCAGCCTCCTTGGCGAGCAATTGAGTTTTGAGCTTAGTAGGCTCAGTTTCCTTGGACGCAAGTTAAGCAGTCAGCTGGTCCATCTTCCCCTTAGACAGTCGTAGTCCTCCTTTAGGCTGGCCAGTTCAGCATGTCTGTTGTCGAGCTCATCTTTCAGCTCTTGCAC